ACCCCTGTGCTAAAAAAATGATACAAAATTACGTTTTAAATGTTGGAATGCTATAATTGTGCAATAAATTAAAATAAAATTTCCCTTATATTGTTTAAGAAAGAATATTTTACTTTTGTCATTTTCAACTCTTATAAACTACCCCTTTACCAATATTAATGTAAAATATTTTTATTATAATCGATTTTTAAATATAATGAATCATATTTTTTTACTTATTTTATTTGTGTAATATAATATATAACAATGAGAAAGCCTATTAATTTTGCTCCGAAAAAATGTCATTGGTTTTTTTACCATGACTCGGTTAATTTTGAAGATATAGTATCCTACAAAAAAGCATTTTAAAGATAATTTTAAGCGCTGTAAGATCGTTGGCATGTAAATCTTTTTAAATCCTTCGTTTTTTAAAGGGAAATGATCGAAGGGTTCGAGACAGGTCTTTTTTTCACTAAAATGGAAACTTCAAGCGGCGATATCTCTTTTATTTTTTATGCTATAGGAATAAAAAAGAAGCAAAATATTTGTGGAAAAAAAAACTACATTTTTGTTGTCTATAATTTTTTACGTATCTTTCATAGTTTCAGAGTTATTATACAAATAAGGCAATTTTTTTTGAATAATGAAATACGTTTTCAACTTTTACCGTACATTATTCAAAAACTACTCATTCTAAACCGGTCTAACTTCAGGATCGTATGAAAAACACTAAAATAGAATTAATTGTAAAGGGTCTACGATTAATTTTAATTCTAATGGAAATGGTACAGCGTTTACTGCTCATTTTTCTTTAAAAAATATGAGCAATCCATCTGTTTTTGACGATAACTCCTTCAATTTTGCTCTAATTAACTTTTATAAGTGCTCTTTTTGAGTACTACAAAAAACTCCAGGAGCGTTATACACGTAGAATTAATCCTTTTTCCGTTATTTGACGTTGAATACATCGATTCGAATATTCCCCCCAAAACAAGTCCCCTTCCACTAACCATATTTCGCTTTGTATAGAACGTACAACACCTTTTTAAAAACGATTTTCTCTGTTTATATAAGCTACATTTTTGTTCATTGCACTTTTTTAAATAAAATGCGTAGTTTTTGAATTATTCGTGAAAAGTACTTTGGAAAAGTATTTTTTTTTCACTCAAAAGTTTTTAATCGCGAATAACTAAAAAACTATTGATTTCTCGAAAAAATTCTTCGAATATTTTTTTCCTCAAAATTCGATTCTCTATCGATTTCCGGCGTTATTTTTGAAAAAAAATTTCCACCTCCGAGAAGGGCTGTCAACCCCCCAACAGGGTGGAAGCGTCAATCGGCGCTATGTCACTAATGTTCATTGATTTTTTCTCTAAAAGCTAATATAAACAAAAAATTCATATGTTGTTTCAGAATTATTATTTATTAGGTTACAGTTTCGTCAATTTTTGAAAAAAAAAAAACAAATGAGATATGTTTGTTTGTCCAAATACTTTATTTTCGTCAATGAGAAATGTCTTTACAACCATTGCGTTTTCTTGCAAAAAGTTTATGAAATTAAAATGAAAACAAATATTTGAACTTCAGAATATTATATTTTTATATTAAAATAATTTACATACTAAAATGTAAAAAAACTTATATGTAGTACAATTTTAAAATACTCACAACAGGGCGTATTCTCAGTCCTAAATATACCCGTGAACAACAAAAAGTTTTCAAATTAAATTGTTATGATTAGGCTTAGTGCACGTGCAGAGTCTAACAGAGCCGGCGCGAGGGTAGGTGACCTTCACAGCTGACTCGCGTTTTTAACCGTTCAGTTATTTACAGAAGCTTGTAGTAGTTGATGTCGCTTCGACGCCTTTCGTTTTTACGTCTGCTGTAAATTGTATTTGCCGTGTGCATTTGAATAACTATTTATAAATAGTAACATAATTTACATTAACAACTAATAGTTTATCATCATTTTCCCAACAAATTTATTCCACTTTTTTCTATTATTATCGAATTTCAAACTAAAGAATCTTGTATGGAAAAACATTTAAACAATTGTTATCATTTCTTGCCATGGATCTGTGATGGACAAGTCGTCTTAATGTGTCACATGACGTCACTAGTATCCTGTTTCGTGCAGATTTTTGCACCAACTTCCTTAATTTCACTGCTAACCTCGTAGAAACGCTAAAAAGCTTTAATTTTTCGGTTTTAAGCACAGTTCTGCCCGAAAACGCAAATCTTGTCGTCAAACGAGCTGTTTTCTGAGTGTACGCGCGGCGGGGCAGATTTCCCCACGGTCGAAGAGGGCTTAGAGAAGATCGGGCGCAGCTTTGCCCAATTACTCGTGTTTGCCGTCGTGCAAGGGACAGCGTCTATCAGGCCTAAGCGAGAATTATGTTATAGGGCCTGGATGCTAAGTAAATATTTGAGGAATTCCTTAGGAACTTTTAACGTTTCCCGGCCGCCCCGATGCCGATCCGCTTCCTGTCTATTCATAGATGATTTATGGCAGGCGAGGAAATTTTTATTGCCGCCATGAGAGTGCTGCCGTGTTACTTTATAAGGCTTCCCAGCACGTATTTGTGGGCTGAATAGTAATATTTTATTACTGTAAGCCTTCCCGAAGCTTATATACACAATCTGAGGTTCCTACAAATTATTATGTATAATGTATTACCGTGAATATGCAATATAATCGAAAACTACATTGTATTTTATAAAAAAAGTGAACATAATTGTGAAGAATGAAAACTAATAAAATCTTATACGCGTATTGTGTGTATATTTTATTGAAAATCATAAAAATAGTATTTTTACTATTGCCAGAACGGTTTAACAGATTGTTTTGAAATTTGGCGTCATCAACATCAACACACTGTATCTTTGTAAGGAGGCATTTTGGTACGAAGGTCTATTTGACCAATTAATTGTTTTGGCGAGTAGAAATTTGCATAAATTGTATAAATTGTCTAGGGCTGTTGAAAAAAAAATATTACTAGTACAAATTGTATTTAAACAATGATTACATTCGAATTTTTACACATATATTTATTCATAACTAGTATGATACCATGCAAAGGCGTAGACAGGACTTTTTTCCAGGGAATATCAGAACGAAAATATATAATATAAACTACTTATTAAAGAATGGTTTTTTTAAACATTTAAAATCATTAAAATAAATTGGTTGTAATATGCTATTTAGTCCAGGGGGTAGAACAGTAAAAGTAGGCTTTGGCGTTTGTGTTTGAAGTCATCTATATTTTGTTGTACAGAAAAATCTCAAATAATATGTAGAATAAGAATTCGAGTTTGCTTATTCCAAAAAAACATTGCTAAATTCAGAGGAACAACAGACATACAAAAAGAACGAAAAATAGCCCGTTTTTCGACATATTTTTCCCTGTAACATTGAAAGTAAGCCCTAAATCAAAAAAGCCATTCTTTATTTTTTTTTATTTGACGATTTTCTATAAAGTTATAACAACTGCGAATCAAAAAAATTATATTTTGCATTAACAATGGGCGAAAAATTGTAGAAAATCATATTTATATTTGGAGCAATTTTTAAAATAAGTAAATATTGATGAAACTTTGTGAACAAATAGTAAAACAATATGTCAATTCTACCATAAAAATTTTGATCGATAGCGTGATTTTCGATTGATAGGATTCTTAATTAAGAAAATTTAAAAAAGTTTATCGCGTATCGTGGGTTTAAAGTAAGGTTTAGAAAGGGCACACAATTTTTTAGATATACTTTTTGTCGTAACAGACAATGATCAATACTAAAAATACCTTTTCTTTTACTTGGCCGGTTTTCTTCTGTATTTCTTTTTGTCTTCAACTCGTCTTCTAGGTCGTTTTTGTATTCCTGAGTAGGTTTTTGTTGGCTGGATCTCATCTCTGCCCTTCTCCCAGGTTTTTACTTACTCCCTTTTGTAGAAATGTACATAACCTCACTTAAGTTTTAGTGACACTATTTATATTTCAATTTGATACGGTATTTCTGGGTTATGTACTGAAATTCAATTGTCTTTATGTTTCAGATCGATGTCACTTTTTTTTACTTGACTGAACACAGATTTAAATGTGTTGATTTCTGTACTTCTTAAATAGACTTTTAGATTTAAAAGAAATTAAATGTTTAATAATGTCATATGGAACTTTTTATGGAAACTTCTATATTTACAGTCATCTTTAAATCTTGAAACGTATGGTGTTTTTGACTTACTTACTATTAAAATTTTTTATACGAAACAAACATTTTTATCAATTTATTTTATAATTGGAAATGTTTTTTTAAGTTATTAACTGCATGTGTAAATATGTGGTTTTTAATTAGATTAAACTTTGAATTTTTTAATTTTGTCAATTTGATTCCTGACATTTCACGTTATACGACTATTATAATTTCCTTGTTCTATAACTACCTTTTATTTAACTTAAGTGAAAAAAATCTGTTTTCTTGAGACGTGGAGATTCTTTGCCAATCTATTGTAAACCCATTTTTCTCCCGTTCTGATCCATTGAATGAATGTTTCATCGTTGTTGGATTGTTCAACGAGTTGCTGCCAAACGTCCACACGATTTTCTTTCTGTTCGGTCAAAAACGAGGAACAGATTTTGCTGCAACTCGATGTACGTTCAATATTTCAGTCAAAATTTCATGGCTTGGCGCAATTGAGTTGCTAACCTCTTCTGCAATTTCTCTGACAGTTAATCCGACGATTTGCACGCACTAGGTCTTTGACTTTCTGAACGTGGGTGTCATCAATTGAAGTCGAAGGCCTTTCTGGTCGAGGATCATCTTCAATCAACTATCGACCTCTTTGCATCGTTGTTCCAGAAAATCGCACATTTCAAAAATCGTCACTAACACTTAAACAAGTTGCACTCGAGAACAGTATCATGAAATTAAAAAAGTTCGTTTATTTCCTGAACATATCCCGTAGTTTCATTTACTGGTAGAAAGTTTATATTGTAATTAAGGATCGATAACAGTTTTTTTCTTGTTACAGAATGATACCATGCGGATAGTATGGGCGTTCCACAAGGGCGAACCCTCTGGTGGTGCGGTGGGGCCCAAGTCTTTACCTCAACACGATCACAGCTCCAGAGGTAGCCAGTCTCTCTACCTGGTGCAACGAGCAGACCAAGACGGTCCTGGACCCGAAGAAACGGCAAGAATATGGGAGTTGAAGAACCCAGCTGTAGACGCGCCAGCTCCGGGAGAGACTTTGTACTGGTGCCGGGTGTTTCGAATCCCTACCATCACCAGGAAGCACCATCTGATTAGGGTGAGTGATTGGTTAAGTTTAATAACAAAGGAATATGAACCATGCGATACATTTGAGTTCATCACATTGACTTTAACCGTTATCAGACTAGTTTTAGCGTCCTTATTTCTTATTTCTTCGTCGTTATTCATTTTAATGGAAGAGAATATCTCTATTAAACGTTGGATTTGGTATTTTCATTTAAATTTGAAGCTGTTATATTATATAAATCGCTACCCTCTTAAAATGCGAAACAAATTCAAGTCGTTTGATAGTTAACAGTTGAAGTTTCTCCTAGAATCGCTGCGCTAAGTTCGTACACGAGCTTTGTAAAGCTTTTTTTATGAAAGGAGGAAATATTGAAGTAATTTATCCTCCCCAAATGATCCATTTCAGCGGAATCTCCCGTACTTCCATCAAGTGCGCCTGATATGGCCGAGCACGCACCAAATGGCAACACCTGTCATTCGAATTTTTTTCACGTAATCTTTTAAAAATTACGTTCTCAGCGCTGGATATCTTAACGACCTAGGATATCCTCGAAATACACGTGCTTTAGTGTTTTGTATTACTAGTAAGAAGTAGGGCTCTAAAAACTTGACGCTAGGGAATACTTATTTTAAAATTGGAAACTTTTAATAGTCCAGTCACTGAAGCATATTGGCTACCAATTTTTTCGGATGGAATGGATTGACGTGAAATTTGAACTGTAGCTAGGGAATAGCCCAAGAAACAAAAGTTATATAGTGCCGATGTGTGCTTTTACCGTAGAGGTGGATGCCACCCCTACAGGAGGGTGGGATTTTTTTTTGTTAAAAATAACGAACTTTAAGAAAAAAATGTCCTATAAGAATTTTTTGTACAATCAATACTTTTTGAGTTATATGCACCTAAACATGTTTTTGAGCCATTTTTTTGCGAAAAAATAATCATATGCAAAAATGAAGGTAATTAAATAGCAAAGAGATTGCTTTTTTAATTTTTGTAGGTGGTATAGAACCCAAGTTATGACGCCCAGAAGTTGAAGTAAAGAAAAAATTAAAGGTTTTTCTAGGAAAACTTATACAACACTTACTAAAGTTGTTGAAAAGACCTTTAAATTGAGAGGTGGTAAAAGTCGTTACCATGAAAATTAATGAAGTTACAATCAAAATAAAATGATTGACTTAATTTTTGAGAAAAAAAATCGGTATTAAAATTAATGACTTGACGTAAAAAAAATTAAACGTATTTCTTCTGCAATTTACTTTATTTATGCATTAACAGTACATTTTGGGAATTTGAACGATTTTAGATGCCTAAATAAAAAAAAATATTTCATTTATTTTTGAATAAAATTTTTAAATTTTTAAAAAAATCGCCCTTTTTCAAAATATTTCAAAAACTGACAGTTATAAAAAAATGATAGAATAAGAAATTGTAGGTTTTTTCTTACTGAACAATTTGTTTCTTTTAAATATTTGTAGTACAAAATTTGACTGTTATGACCATTAGCTCAAAACTAAGCTCTAAGACTGCATTTCCTGAGCCCTTTTAGCTTAAAAATCAAAAAAACGAAGGGCTCAAAGAAACTGCAAATCGCAGAACTTAAAGTGCTTTAAATTCCCTACAAAATGTTTTTTTGAGTAAATTTATAACTTTAAAATTACAAAAGTTATGGTAAAAAAATTAATCGCATTTTTTGAGTAAAATTTTCGGAGCAGATAAATCACCATCATCTTTGTGTATTTTGGAGGACTTGTGAACTGATTTGAGTAAGTATTTTAATAATATACATATACACACGTATCCGAGTCCACATGTATATGTATGTGTACATTCGGAAATTGAAATTTTATTTGATACTAGGTTGACCCGGCAAACGTTGTTTTGCCATATAAATTAATCCTAGGATTATTTTAGTAGTTTTTTCATAAAGAAATTTCACTTCTACCATCTATATTATATTTAGTGTTATTCAGTGTATATCGTGTATATTTTTTTTATTAATAGTAATAGTAAATGTCATTATTACGGTTGATGCACAAACAATAATAATAATGGCCGAAAACTGTAGGGAGTGAGAAAGGGCTCATTGTGTGAGAGAGATCTCATCCCTACTCCGTGCTGTTTACTGGGTCAGAAGTGACACCGGTCGACGCCTGGCGGGGATAAAAAAAAATGATCAAGTGATAATTGATCAGTTATCGACCGGGGTTGAAAATTATTGAATTACTAATATCGCTATTAAAAAATAAGGGTTGATGGTAGAAGGGTGAAAATTTAGGATTGTATGTATTTTTTAAGGCCACATCATAAAAAAAATAAAAAAATTAAATTTTGTCCAAAAAACAACAAAAAAAAAATTTTGGGGTGGACCACCCTTAACATTTAGGGGTATGAAAAATAGATGTTGGCCGATTCTCAGACCTGCCCGATAAGCACACAAAATTTCATCAAAATCGGTCCAGCCGTTTCGGAGGAGTACGGGAACGAACATTGTGACACGAGAATTTTATATATAAGATTAATAAAAACAATATTAAGAATAAATTCAATAAAATTAAAAAAAATAATTATATCACCATACTCACATATAATTTTTAGGAAATTTTTCTATAAGGGGGTAGGGTTTTTTATGAGGGGTAGGTCTTCCATAAGGGTTTTTTGGGTGGCTGAAAAGTTGCAATATATCATAGATCATTTGAAAACCAATAAAAAGTTTCAACATATGCACACCATTAAAACATCTCAAGCTTTCAATAATATCTTTTGTTTATTTTATTATGGTTTTTAAGGGTTGCAACTTTGTAATGAGTCGTAAGCTTTCTAATGAATAACAAAAGAAATGCAATACATTGTGAATGCACCAAAAGAATATTTTAAACTGTTAAAAACTTTTTTTTCTATTTGTTTAGGCATGGAAGGGTAGTTTTTAAGGATTTTTAAGGGTTGAAAATTAATTAAATTTCATAAATTATATTAAAAAACATGAAAGGAACTTTACCCAACATGAATTGAATCTTTAAAATACGTAAATCTTCACACCAAATAGAAAAAGCGCACATCTAGACAATATAACTTTTGAAGTGGGGGGTCAGATGAGCTTGTATGCAAATTTTCAGAAAAATCCAATGCTATCCGAAAAAATTGGGAGCTTTTACCTTATTTTCACCTTCAGTGACTGGACTATAAGGAATTGGTAGTGTAACTCTAGATGTTAGGAAAATATAAGTCCATAGGAACTCTCAAAGTGTAACAAATATTCCGTCGTGGTCGCTGGGGGCAGGAGTCCGATCGGAGTAATTTTAGTGTCATTGTCTAGGTTGGATTTTTTATCGTAGCTAGTGACCTCATGCACATGGTCAATAACTAACAAGACTGACGTAATTAACATACTTAAGAACTTATCTGTAATAAATTCCAATACATTTTATTGTTTTTTGAAAAAGATATGACTAAAAGCTAATTTTAAAACATTATTTTTGATGCACTCCCTCAAAAACCAGAGGTCGATAGGCGAAAATCGATAACTTTCCAAAACACCCTGTACTTTCCCAGTGTCAAGAAACTGAGCAGGTTTATACAAAAAAAAATAACTGGGATCAACGTCGAAATAAACAATGCAGTATCTAAAATATCAATTTTTAATTGATTTATCTGTAATACAGCTATGGACAACAAAAAGTTTTGGATCGAGAACTTTTTGTTCGCAGCTATACATATAAATGTTTGAGTAGAATCAGCTCACCATCAATTTGACTTGATATAGTTCACATAAATTGAATTTAAATTTATTTAAAGCGCTTTTTTTTGTGAAATTTAAGACTTCGCTGTCTTTTAAGTAACCACCTATCACATCACTGAAGATGTATGTGTATTCAGCGTTTTATCCACCTGTTTTGTCGATTCCGGTACGCCAGTTGTTGATTACCATCACCACCGTTAATTTTTTCGGCAAACCGAATTTGGGCGGTCTCGAACCATTCCAATCTGCCTTAAACAAACTCCTCCTCGACGCCGCCTACTTCGAAAAAACTTGTCTCTATTACCAGACGTTAGAATACCAAATGAGATGAATATTACGATATCTAGATAAAAAGCAATTTCGCCGTTCATGGTTCGCTAGATGGCCAGAATGCTGAAATTTCCCGAGCAGGAATTTTAATTTACAACTGCTGCGTATGTAACAGGTTCCGCCTTGTCATTTTTATTATTCTGATCTTCCGTTGCGATAAAAATGTGACACATAAATCAGGGTGGCCCGTCTTGGAGGCGTTTCTTCGTTATCAGCGACGTTGCAAGTCGTTACAGGTAGACAGCAAAAAATATAATTGTTTAAAACTTTTTCTTAAATACAGAGTGTTACACAGATAAGGTGAAAAATCTCTGGGAAAGAGATAGACCATGTGAAAATAAGGTTAAGAGCTTATAATAACATGAGTCTTAAAATATATCGTTTCCGTCAGGGTGTTATAATATTACACATAAAGTCACATTCTGCAACTTAAAAGAAAGCTGTATTCGACTCCCATAAAATTTGATAGAGTGCTCAATTTCATTGTTTATAGTACTCTGATAATAAAAAAATAGATATCTTATGGACTTAGAGGGAAGCACTTATGACTATCTTGTTTGTCACTAAAATTATGTGTCAGTTTTTCATAACGGCTGAAAGAAAAATTAAAATATACAAAAAATGTAGTTTTTATTTGAATATTTCAAAAAAAACTAACCACATTTAAAAAAATCTACTGAAGATTTAATCAAATCAATCCCAAATTTATTACAACTCCTTATAAAGATAAAGAAAATAAACAAAATAATGGCATAAAAAAGGTTCATAAAATGTCTAGATAAAATTTTCCCACAACGCTTTACAGAATTAGTTGCTTAATTGTAATTGCAATTAAAACGAAATTTTCAATAGAATAAATGACTGACATACAGTACTGTTATGGTTTGGCAAAAGGTAACTGCCTTTGGAGTTCAATATTATCGAGAAAGATTTCCTCAGCGTCGACACATAATATCAATTCGTT